ATCTCTATCGCCGCGTATTTTCTAGCCCGCAACAATTATGATATTTTTATACTGCTTTATCTATTATATCTCCTCTCAATAAAATTAAATCATTATATAATATTATAAATTATTATAAATTTATAAAATTTTATGAGATTAATAATATTCATTATTTATTTCAAAAATTCTGTTTTTAATTTCTCTCTAAATTTTAAAATAATAAAATAAGGGATATGTTTATTTTGAGATATATAAAAAATAATATTATTATTATAGAAAAAGTTAACACGAAATTTAAAGAGCAATAAGGAGGTCGGTAGAGCCTTCTTCCCAATATAAAGCCCAACATAATAACCCTAACTTATTAATATTTAGGATTAATTTCTTTTCAGTTCACACGTGTCAAATTCTCCTTTACTTTAATCTATGATTCGGATTCCCTGCACACAACACCGCACGATCAACTTCTTCTTCTATAAAAGGTAAAGCCAATACAATAAGTCAGAGCAGCGGAAGAAGAAGAAAAAGTAAACAGGTAACTACCAGCGATGTCGGTGCCGGTGGCTTACCAAGGCAACACCTCCGCCGCCGTCGCCGACTGGCTAAACAAAGGCGACAACGCATGGCAGATGACCGCGGCCACCCTCGTCGGCCTCCAAAGTGTTCCGGGCCTGGTGATCCTCTACGGTGGCATAGTCAAGAAGAAATGGGCCGTGAACTCAGCCTTCATGGCCCTCTACGCCTTCGCCGCCGTCTGGCTCTGCTGGGTCACTTGGGCCTACAACATGTCTTTCGGCGACAAGCTCCTTCCTTTTTGGGGCAAAGCCAAGCCGGCGCTCGGCCACAAATTTCTTCTCAAACAAGCGGAAATTCCTGCGTCGACTCACTATTACAGATCAGGGGACGTGGAGACAGCTATGGCGACGCCTTATTATCCCATGGCGACGATGGTTTATTTTCAGTGCGTATTTGCGGCGATTACTCTGATACTTATTGCGGGATCTCTGCTGGGAAGGATGAATATAAGGGCTTGGATGGCCTTTGTGCCGCTTTGGCTTACTTTCTCTTATACGATCTCTGCATTTAGTATATGGGGAGGCGGGTTTCTGTTCCAGTGGGGCGTCATGGATTACTCTGGCGGATATGTTATTCATCTTTCTTCTGGTGTTGCTGGATTCACCGCCGCTTATTGGGTATTCCTTCGCCGTACACGTTGAGGTTCCAATTTTTTTTTATAATGATTATAAATTAATAAATAGGAAAAAATTTATTTGAGTGTATATTGCAATATACTTTAGATCCAAATGTCATGTTTCAATTTTTATTAGTATAATTTAACAATAATTAATATATGTTGATTTATTTATGATATTTTTTATTTATTAAATCTAAATATCTATTTTT